CACACACCCCATGGCCGCCCCCCATGGCCCCGCTCACCTTTAACGTTGCCTCCCACGATGACGCACTTCATGGCGCGGGCTTGGACCCAGCGCACACGTGGCGGCTTCGCGCCTCCCGCCGCAGGCCACGCCCCGGAGCCGAGGCCACGCCCCTTTCCCCACGGAAGCCACGCCCCTCCTGCCACACCCGGTTGCTCTTGGCCTTCCCCCCCCCCCCCCAAACTCCTTCCCCCCCCCCTCCTCCTCCCCGCGCCCCCCGAGTGGTCCCTCCCGGCCCCCCCCCCCGCCCCCCGCCGCCGTGGTTCCTCCCGCTTCACCTCCGCGCCGGCACCTTCCCGTCTCCCGCGCCGCCCTCCCCCGCCGCCCTCCGATTGGTGGAGCGCCGGCCTCCGTCCCGCCCCTACCTGCAGCTGATTGGTCAGCGCCGCAGCGCGAAGGCCCGGCGGCGTTTTCGCGCCTTACGTCACCCGGCGCGGTCCCGCCCTACGCCGCTGGCTTCCCGCCGTAAGCCCGCCCACTCCTCGGCTCGCTATTGGCTGCGCGCATTGGAGTGACGCAGAGCTCAGCCAATCGGGCCTCGACGGCGAGTGGCGGGGGAAGCCCGATCCCCCCCCCCGGGTTCACACCGGGCTCTCATTCACCTCAATCCCTTCCATTCACCCCGGGGCACGCTCGGGGCCCTCCCATGGGATGTGGGGTGGGAAAGGGGTCCCGGAGCTAGGGGGAGGCCCCACATGGGGGGCAGGAGCTGATAAACCCATCCCGGGGGGCAGAGGGACCTGGGGGGTTCAATGTGGAGAAGAGAAGGCTCAGGGGGGACCTGATGGCTGCCTCCAAGTGCCTGAGAGGAGGATGGAGCCAGGAGGGGCTGGGCTCTGCTCCCAAGGAACAAGGGATGGGACAAGAGGAAACGGCCTCAAGCTGCCCCAGGGCAGGTTTAGATGGAGCTGAGGAACAATTCCTGCCCCAGAGGGTGCTCAGGCATTGGAACTGCCCTGCAGGTGCTCACAAACCCCATAGACAAGGCCCCAGTGCTATGGGTTATGGTGGCCTTGGGGTTGGACTTTGTGCTCTTAAAGCCCTTTCCCAACCTGGATGATTCCGTGATTCTGAGGATCCCTGACCCACACCTGTGGGCTCTGCCTCCCAAGCAGCGCCTGTGGGAGGGGGATGCTGTAGCCGGGTTGGCAGCAGCGCGTGGTCTCCCCATCCTTCAGGTGCTGGAAGCAGTGGGAAGCTCACAGCTGGAAGGCTGACGCCGTGCATGAGCTGTGTGAGGGAAGCAATGGAACAGGGAAAGGGTCCCATTGGGGAGGCTGTGGTGAGGGGGGGGCTCAGCAAATCCCTTCCCTCCCGCACGCAGCCAACCTGGAGCAAGGGCTCGGGATGGAGCCTTGAGGCCAGGCTGCCCCATCACACTCGGGCTCCACTGCCCTTCTCTGGCCCTGCTCCAGCACCTCAAGGTCTCTGTTGCAGTGAGGGGCCTGGAGCTGACCCCTGGTCACAGCCTGTGACAGGCTCAGCGCCGGCTCAAGTCCCTCCTCCTGCGCTCAGAGACCAAAGAGGGGCCCCTGGATGGAGCCTCGGAGCGGGGCTGGCACCTGAAGGGGGCACGGAGCCGTTCCCCGGCATCCTCAGCCTCTCCTCCTCCTCTTCCCATCAGGTGCCTCTCCGGATGCTCCACGTCTTGGATCCGGACCCGACGCCCCTCGGCAGCGCATCCCCTCCAGGTACACAAACACCCCCCCCCCATGGGGCCGTGCTGCACGTATCTGTGTGCATGGGGAGCCTGTGGGGCTCCCAGCCCTGCCTTGGCCGGGGTTTGGGGTCCAGCCCCATTGGGATCTCTGGCTCCCGGCCCCTTCCTCCCTTCTTCCCAAGGGGAGGAAGGGCTCGTGCGTGTGTTCCAGCCCTGGAACAGCCACCGGGCTCCTCTGGAGCTGCTGTCCCCAGGAGGGGCTCTGGCCTCGGGGTCTGCGTTTTATGGGGCCGTGGATGGGACGCAGCTGCCTGCGCTCGTGACACAGACACCTCCGCGGTGGCCAAAGCCACGCGCACCCCTCCTGGTCCCCATGGTGTCGTGTCCCGTCCCCCCCACCTCCATCCAGCCGGGATTGAGCTGGATACAGGCTGGGAACTGGCCCCTGTCACCCCTGCGTGTCCCATCCTGCTGGTGGCTCCCATCCCAAGCACATGGCACGAGACAGACGGACGCAGCTGGATGTGGGGCGGCTGGGAAGGGACCGGCGTGGGGCTCCATGGCTGCTCCACGCCCTGAGACCCCCCTTAAGGAGCGGGGCCGGTGCCCACGGCTCACCCCATGGAGGGGCCGTGGGTGCTTTGGGGTTGGCGATGAGCTTCCTTGCGGGCACCCCCCCTGTTGCTGGGGGGCGGCCCATGGGTACCAATGGTGCTGGAGGCCATGGAAGGAGCAGGTAGGAGCAGGCAGGGCCCCGGGAGGGAGCTGTGGGGGGGAGCAGCGGCCGCAAAGGGCAGCAGTGGGAGGCGGCGGCGCCGGCGGGGATGAAGGTGAGGTCAGCTCCGCGCTGGTGACGTGGCCCGGGGGCAGCAGGGTCGCGGTTTTGTCCCCCCCTCCCGGGGCTGGCGCAGGGCCTGGAGCGCAGGAGGAGGAGGAGGAGGGTGATGAGGATGAGGATGCTGCTTCCCAGCCCTCCAGTGCCCCCCTTGTCCCGGGGCAGGGGCATCCATTGGGTGATGGAGGGGGGCTTGTGCCGTGTTCCCCATCACCCTCCTCTTGCTCCTTCTCTCCCAGGTGATCCCTGCAGCCACAAAGCTGGAAACGCCACCAGAACCCACCTCAATGATGATGGTTGGGAGGGGGCAGAGCAAGCAGGACCACCTCCCCCCCCCTCCCGCCCCACATCCCCAAGGCCGTGGAGGCTGCTCCGTGCTGCTGGCAGGGGGCTGTTGGCTCAGGGTAAGGGGGAAATCAGATCCCCTGCACCGGGAACGGCCCCATGCTGTGCAAGGGCTGGAAGTGGGGACCTTCCCCCCACCACCACCTCCGCAGGCTGCTGGGGAGGGAGGATGCGGCATTCCCAGTGCTCGAGGTGGGGCAGCTCCATCCCCCCGGCCCCTCTGTCACCCATGGGGCTGCAGCACCCCCTGAACGAGCACCCAAGAGCTCTGTGTCTCAATGGGACCCCTCAATAGGGAGCACCCGGGTTGGAGCAGCACCCTGAGGACCTCCCCCCCCCCCCCATCGCCCTGGTGCACGTGTGTTGGGTGCTTCCTCATGGATTCCCCACCGAATCCATGTTTCCCACCCCATAAACCACCCCGGCCCCACCGCTCTGTGTGTGTCCGTGTGGGGTTTACCCCTACCGGGTGTCCCTAAAACCCAGGGCTTGGTGGCTCCAGCTCTCCGAATCCCGACGGATTTAGAGCAAGGCAGGGTCGTGGCATCGCTCCAAGCGCTCACCCCGCTCCTCCGCACCCCGCGTAGAGCCGGGAGGATGCGATCGCGGCCGGGAACGGAGCCGGGAATGCTCGGACCTGGCTGTGGCCGACACGAACCCGCCTCGGACCTCCCGGCGCTCCCAGCGCCTTTGTTTTAAACAAAGCTCCTTATTTCGGGAGGCCGGGGGGGGGGACGGGGGACACCCGGTTCCCTTCGCCCCCTTGGCAGCACCCACGGCTGGGGCAGGAGGGGAAGGGGACGTTGGGGGGGTCCCGCGGTGCGGGGCAGGGCACGGGCTTTGCAGCGCGCTCAGCCCCGCGGCTCTGCCCCGTTCACAGCAGGGGGGGAAGCGGCTGCGGTCACGGCCAAGTTCCCCCCGCCCCGACCAGGGTTCGTCTTAACGGGGTCGTCAAATGCGGGACGGTGGCTTGGGGGGGGGGGGGGTTGCGGTGCGGTGCGGGACCGGGGGCTTCCATCCCCGTCCACCCGTGAGCCCCGCTGCGGGCTCCGCTTCTATCGCCGGTGGCTGCGTCGCGATCGGAACCCACCGAGCCCCGACGGCCGCGCTCCCCTCGCCGGGCCCCGCTCACCTGCGGCCGCCCCGTCCCGTCCCCGCCGAACCGGAGCACCGGGGTTTAAGGGGAGGGGGGGGGGTCCGTTTGTCCGTGCCCCCCCTCGGGAGCCCCTCACCCGAGGACTGCAACCCCCCCCCCCCCGTTCCCGTCTCCGCCGCTCCTCCCCGGTCCCGGGGGGGGGGTCGGTGCTGGGAGGGGGGGGGTGGGGTGGTCAGGCTGGCACCCCCCGTTCCCCCCCCTTCCCGTACGGGCTCCTCCGCACCTCGCCCCGTCCCGTCCCCCCCCCTCTTCTCTTCCTCTCCCCGGACCCCCCCCCCCCCCTTTCCCCCCCCGTTCCCCCCCCTTCCCCTCCCCGGGGGACCGGGCTCTCGGCGTGCGGCGGCGGCGGCGGCTCTGTGCGTCGGGAGGAGAAGAAGCGAGAAGGGCTCCGGGCGGCAAATGGGAGCCGCGGTCCCGGTCCCGGTCCGGTTTGCGGGACCGCAGCCTCGGACCCGGGCAGCCCCGAGCACGGAACCCCCGCCCCGCTCCCGCCTCTGTCCCGCATGGAGCTGCGAGCAGGTACGAGACATCCATCCCCCCCCCTCATCCCGATCCTTCTATCCCCGTTCCCCGCCGCACCGGCCCCGCACCGGCCGCTAACAAAAGCCGTGCGGGAGCCAGGACCGAAGGGAGGGAGCGAACGGGAAGCGGGGGGCAGCACCCCCGGATCCCCCCCTTCCCCTTTTCCCCCTTCCCGTTCTTTCCCCACCGCACCGAGGCTCGGTTCCAGCTTCCAACCTCGGCACCGGGACCCCGGGGATGGGGAGGAAGGCGAAGGGAATGGGGAAGGGGCCGAAAGGCCGGGAGAGAAGGCGAAGGAGAGGGGAGGGAATGAATGGAGCCCGCTCTTGTGTACAAACCCCATCAAATACATTCTTGAAAGCAACCTGGTTCTGCTTAACCCTGGAATCGGGAGGGGAAGCAGGAGGGAAACCGAAGGAGGACGAGGGAGGGCGGCAGCGCGGGGAGGGTGAAAGCGCTCCGGGTTTTATCCTCGCATTCCTGGACACCAATCAAAAGAGCAAAGCAAAGGAGGTGGAAAAGAGAAAAGGGAGGGGGGAAATAGAGCAGCGAACGAAAGCAACCGGAGCATTGGTGCGACCCCGTCCCCAAAAACCAACCAACCCCCCCCCCCTCCAAACACACCCAGCCCCAAACTTCCTTTTCTTTGCTTTTTGGCCACTTCACCCCCAAGAAGCCCAGACCAAAACAAACAGGGACAAGGAGGAGGAAAAGCAAAGCACCAAACCCAACCCCAAAGCCAAAGCGAGCCAGGGCAGCGGCCGGAGCCAGCGCCGAGCCCCTGCTTCGGGCTGCTCCCCGCTTGGCCTCTGCTCCTTCTGCCCCCCCAAAAAACCCTCTCCCTGCACCCCGACTATGCTAAATGTTGCTGGGGAGCTCTCAGGTAAGAGCGGGGCCGGGGCTGGGGGCTGCTTGCGCTCTGTTTGCTATGGGGGAAACAGGGGGGTTTTGCCTTTCCGAGCCGCTGCTGATTCCAATTTGATGTGATTAAAACGTCTGGCTCGCTTTTGGCATTGATTTAAGGCTTTCCCCCCCTTTCCTCTCCTGGTTTTGGGTTTAGTTGGTTGGTTGGGGGTGGGTTGTTCCCCCCCCCCCCCTTCCCTTTCTCTCTTTCCCTCTTTTCCATGCATGTTTGTGATTACCAGGGAGGGAACGGCCGCTGAGCACGGAGAATTAAAGCCCAGCACTGACAAGAAGGGGAGGAAAACGAAAGTCGTTGGGATTTAGGGGGGTCGGGAAAGGTCCTTTTCCTGCCCCGGGACTGGATTTCGGGGCTGGGTTCGGAAACGCTTTGGTTGGAACGAACGAGATTCCTGCGGGACGCAGCAGCGGGATATGGGGGTGCTGAGGAAGCGTCCCCTCTGCGGCCGGGACCGCGGGATGGTTTTGTCCCCTTGGCCTCCACGGGGGTGCCCGTGGCCGGCCCCGGCGGGATGCGGGGTTCCTCCTGCGGGAAAAGGCTGCAAAACCCCTTAAAAGGTCAAATCCTGGGCGCCGGGAGGCTCCCACCCGCTGGGACCGGGACCGGGACCGGGACCGGGGCCGGGGCACCACGAGGCCGGCGCCGGGTTTGGCCGCGGCTCCCGCGGTGACGCAGGACGGGGCAAAGCGGGGCGAGCGCCGGGGAACCGGAAAAGCGAGGCCGGGAGCCCCGGGGGCCTCCATTGCCCTCCCGTTCCCTCCGGCCCCGCCGGACGGGGCCGCGCCACCGGCGGCACAACCGGTACCGGGGCCTTGCGGGACGGGACGGGGACGGGGCCGCAGAGCCCCGATGGGGTTTTAGGGTGAGAGCGCGGCCGCCACCGACCCCGCTCCCTTGTTCTGGGGGATCCCCAACCGGGGTCACCCCAAGCTCGCCCCGGGGTCCCGGTCCTATGGAGCCGGCTGCCCGGGCACGGTGGCGGTGCACATCTGGGCTGCATTAAGCGAGCAACCTCCGAAGGGAAATGCAAAGGGTTCTGCTTACAGGGCCGGGCTGAGGGGGGGGAGATTTATGCCCTGTTAAGTGGCACTGAGCTCCGTGGACCCATAAATCACCCCACACCCCTCCCCAGGGCAGCACCCGGACCCTCTGTGCTGTGCTATGGGCACCCCATTGCGTAGCATAGGGTGCCATGGGTTGTTCAGCATCACCAGCACCATGATAGGGTGCAGATGGCACATCTGGGGAGCAGCCGGTTTGGCTTGTGCCAGCAAAGCGCCGGCGGTGCTGGGGCACGTGGCTGGTGGTGATGGAGGTGGCCTGGGCTTGGCCAAGGTGCTGTGGGGACACATGGGGCCGGTTTGGGCACCAGGATGTGGCCATGGGGAGCTGCTGGTCCCATGCTGATCATGGTGGGTGCTGTAGGGATACATGGGGCCGGTTTGGGCACCAGGGCATGGCCATGGGGAGCTGCTGGTCCCCTGTTGATGGTGGTGGGTGCTGTAGGGATACATGGGGCCGGTTTGGGCACCAGGGCATGGCCATGGGGAGCTGCTGGTCCCCTGTTGATGGTGGTGGGTGCTGTAGGGACACATGGGGCTGGTTTGGGCATCAGGGCATGGCCATGGGGAGCTGCTGGTCCCATGTTGATGGTGGTGGGTGCTGTAGGGACGCATGGGGCTGGTTTGGGCACCAGGATGTGGCCATGGGGAGCTGCTGGTCCCATGTTGATGGTGGTGGGTGCTGTAGGGATGCATGGGGCTGGTTTGGGCACCAGGGCATGGCCATGGGGAGCTGCTGGTCCCATGTTGATGGTGGTGGGTGCTGTAGGGACACATGGGGCTGGTTTGGGTATCAGGGCATGGCCATGGGGAGCTGCTGGTCCCATGTTGATGGTGGTGGGTGCTGTAGGGACACATGGGGCCGGTTTGGGCACCAGGATGTGGCCATATGGGAGGTGGGTGCTGTGGGGACTGCTGGTCCCATGTTGATGGTGGTGGGTGCTGTAGGGACGCATGGGGCTGGTTTGGGCACCAGGGCATGGCCATGGGGAGCTGCTGGTCCCATGTTGATGGTGGTGGGTGCTGTAGGGACACATGGGGCTGGTTTGGGCACCAGGATGTGGCCATGGGGAGCTGCTGGTCCCATGCTGATGGTGATGGGTGCTGTAGGGACATGGGGCTGGTTTGGGCACCAGGATGTGGCCATAGGGAGCTGCTGGCCCCCTGTTGATGGTGGTGGGTGCTGTAGGGACACATGGGGCTGGTTTGGGTATCAGGGCATGGCCATGGGGAGCTGCTGGTCCCATGCTGATGGTGGTGGGTGCTGTAGGGACGCATGGGGCTGGTTTGGGCACCAGGAGGTGGCCATGGGGAGCTGCTGGTCCCATGTTGATGGTGGTGGGTGCTGTAGGGACACATGGGGCTGGTTTGGGCACCAGGATGTGGCCATGGGGAGCTGCTGGTCCCATGTTGATGGTGGTGGGTGCTGTAGGGACGCATGGGGCTGGTTTGGGCACCATGGCATGGCCATGGGGAGCTGCTGGTCCCACGTTGATGGTGGTGGGTGCTGTAGGGACGCATGGGGCTGGTTTGGGCACCAGGATGTGGCCATGGGGAGCTGCTGGTCCCATGTTGATGGTGGTGGGTGCTGTAGGGATACATGGGGCTGGTTTGGGCACCAGGATGTGGCCATGGGGAGCTGCTGGTCCCATGTTGATGGTGGTGGGTGCTGTAGGGATGCATGGTGCTGGTTTGGGTATCAGGGCATGGCCATGGGGAGCTGCTGGTCCCATGTTGATGGTGGTGGGTGCTGTAGGGACGCATGGGGCCGGTTTGGGCACCAGGGCATGGCCATGGGGAGCTGCTGGTCCCATGTTGATGGTGGTGGGTGCTGTAGGGACACATGGGGCTGGTTTGGGCACCAGGATGTGGCCATGGGGAGCTGCTGGTCCCATGTTGATGGTGGTGGGTGCTGTAGGGACACATGGGGCCGGTTTGGGCATCAGGGCATGGACATGGGGAGCTGCTGGTCCCATGCTGATGATGGTGGCTGTTGGCTGGGTGATGCCAGCGATGATGGCAGTGGCTTTGGGGTACCGGGACGTGCCCCCAAAGCTCTTCAGTGCCCCATAGGCAAACACTGGGGGGGGTTCCCCTGCTCCACCGGAGGCACATCCAGGCTCTCCGGGTCCCCATCGGGATGCTGGGAAGCCCACCAGGACGCCTCCCACAGCTCCCAGGTGCCGTCCCCGCGCCGGGCCGGGTGTGCGTGCGGGGCAGCGGGGTCTGGTTGGGATTAGGGGGCCCGGTTCCCCCCCCTGTCCCCGCGCCGGCGGGGGTGTTTCCAGCGGGCTGGAGCCGGATGGGGATTCCAGGCCCGGCTCATTGCGGAGTCTCCCGTGCGCGGCCGCAGTTATAAACACACGGAGGAGACAGGATGTAAACACTGCGAGCGCAGGCACGGCCGCGGAGGGGGGGGGGATGTGGGGCCATGTGTTCTGGGGGGGGGTGGGTGCCCCTCGGGGGGGGGGCTTGGCCATGAGGGGCCCCGTGGGGTCTATGGGAAGGGCTGATGGTTAGGGGGGGAGCGGGCAGGTGGTGGTGGTACCCCATGGGATGGGAGGCAGAGCCCACGGGTGGGATGCTGGTGGTGATGCGGGGGGCAGCGGCTGGGGACACTGGGGACATCAATGGCTATGGGGTGCGTGAGTATCCCTGTGGCCCCACTATGGGCTGCTGCTATGCCCATAGGTTGCCACAATGGGGTTAAATGCCACCAGGGACGTCAGCAACACCAATGCTTGGCTATGGGGTGCATGAGCATTCTCGTGGCCCCACTATGGGCTGCTGCTGTGCCTGTCTGATGTTGCAATGGGGTTAAATGCCACCAGGGACGTCATCGACACCGATGCTTGGCTATGGGGTGCATGAGCATCCTCGTGGCCCCACTATGGGCTGCTGCTGTGCCTGTCTGATGCTGCAATGGGGTTAAATGCCACCAGGGACGTCAGCAACACCGATGTTTGGCTATGGGGTGCGTGAGCATCCTTGTGGCCCCACTATGGGCTGCTTGTGTGCCTGTCCGATGCTGCAGTGGGGTTAAATGCCACCGGGGATGTCAGCGATGCTGATGTTTGGCTATGGGGTGCATGAGGATCCTCATGGCCCCACTATGGGCTGCTGCTGTGCCCATAGGTTGCCACAATGGGGTTAAATGCCACCAGGGACATCAGCAACACCAATGCTTGGCTATGGGGTGCGTGAGCATCCTCGTGGCCCCACTATGGGCTGCTTCTGTGCCTGTCCGATGCTGCAATGGGGTTAAATGCCACCAGGGACATCAGCGACACCGATGCTTGGCTATGGGGTGCATGAGCATCCTCATGGCCCCACTATGGGCTGCTGCTGCACCTCTCTGATGCTGCAATGGGGTTAAATGCCACCAGGGACGTCAGTGACACCGATGTTTGGCTATGGGGTGCATGAGCATCCTCGTGGCCCCACTATGGGCTGCTGCTGTGCCTGTCTGATGCTGCAATGGGGTTAAATGCCACCAGGGACGTCAGCAACACCGATGCTTGGCTATGGGGCACATGAGCACCCTTATGGGCCCATATGATGCCCCAGTGGGGTTAAATGCCACCAGCCTGATGACAACGGTGTCTGTCCTTGCCCCATTGAGCATCACCACCCCAAACCCCCTTGGTGCTGCCAAACGAGAAGGGTTGCACTGAGAATCCTTTATCCCCAGTGCCACAGCCACAATCCCATAGGAGCCCTGGGAAACCAGCCCAGCAGCTCCAGTGTTGAGGATCCCCCCCTTTTTCCCTATTGCTTCCCCCCCCCCTCCTCCAGGCTTTCGGGAAAGCAGCTTTTGGGAAGCTTTGTGGTCACTCCTGACCTCTGCAGCTCTGCCCACAGCATGCCCAGGGAACAGCTCACCCGGCTCCGTGGCGGCAT